GCTTTTACTTGCCTACAGAATATTTGCTGTTAATAAATAAGAACTTATAGGAAATAGCCAAAGCAGCTGTTGAAGCCTTATCTCGTCAGATCTCAGAAGTTAAGTAGTACTGATTTGGACTTGGATCAGAGACCTCTGGGAATACTATGTGCTATTTTGGAGCACCACTGACAAAAACTGTCATTGTGTCCTTAGGCAAGACATCTTCACCCACCTAGTATGTGCATGAGTGCTGGTGGTGGTCATGGCTCAGATTGGTAGCCTCGCTTCCATCAGTGAATGAATAGTGTACTGTGAAGTGCTTTGGGTGTCTTGAAAGGAGCTATTTAAATTCAACGCATTATAAATGTAGATATACACACATCACTAGGTGCTAGGTTGCTGCAGTGAAAATGATAAATTAAATAAATAAAACATGAGAACTTGACATTTTGTTATTTGACCTTATCTCTCAGTAAAAGTAAAACTGCAGCAGTTCATGGACTGTAGATGAGACTTTTTACACTAAATTCAATAGTTTGAGAATCTCTGTACTAGCAGATTTCTCATGTAGGCCTATACTGTAAAAATAATCTATATTATAGTGCAGTTAACATCATCTCCGTATGTTGTTGGATGCTGGGACCCCAAGAATAATGGACCTGCCTCCTTATGGGGACAAAAATCAGTCCTTCATAACACGAATCCTTTATTATAGCCAAATACATTTTAATTCTGTCCACTCGACAAAGCTTTCAAAAGCACCTAAAGTTTGTCCAGTTGGAAGAATTATTCCATTACAATGATATTTTCTTTTGCCACAGAACCTATACCTGGTTGACTGGATTAAACAAGCACCCTTTGTTATAGATCAACAAAATCTAAGTTTAGGTTAAAATAGGGCAAAATTAGGGTTTATGTTCAGGTTAGGTTAATAGTGCATATGTTATTGATCTCCAGAAAATGCATGCAAGTCAGTGTTGTCCTCAATAAGAATGGAAACCCAACATGAGAGTGCGTGGGTGGGGGTCTCGCTCTGTTAAACTGTATGTGTCCGGATCAGCACATTTAGCGCTCGTCCCCTCCTGCTGCAGTGTGGCTTTACTAGAGGCTTGCTGTCACAACTCATGTTTAAGTGCAACCAGGGATCTCCCAGAGCAGAGGAGGTGACACAGGAGACAGAGGAGACAAAGAAGCATACTGGCATGCTAGACTGGTTGCAAGAGCAGAAAAATGATAATATTGTCTCACTCTGCAGGTAAATGTAATACAAAGATCTAAAACATGGCCTATAGTTGGTGTTTTGTTCAGCTGTAGATTGTTCGTACAACTGTGCTTATACCTAAATGGTCTTCAAACAGATATTACAAACCCAAACTGATCATGAGTTGATGAGAAGAAGCTAAGAAAAAAATTTAAAATACATGCATTCCTGTGAGCTCCTCTTCACAGATGTGGCCTGTAATTTGGCATTGTGGTGGCATCTGCTTGTCTCCATACAGTAGATAGGTTTAATGTTTTAGGTGTACCCAGAAAAAAATGATGCACCTTTTAAGCAAAGAAAAAAAAAAAAGATCTCAATTAAAAATGACATGTTAGTCTTTGGTTCAACAATGGCTGATTTTTTTTATTAAGTTGTTGTTTTTTTCTAAATGAATTTGATGCATCCTTCAGTATAGAGGTTAGGTTAGGTCAGGAGTACCTAGCTGGAGGATTAGCCTACTGTGAATGCTTTAGGTTCCTTAGGTCGAATGATGGAAGCAATGAAAGTTTAATGAAATATATATATATTGAGGTCTTCATTATAAACCGTCACAAGGTGGTCCAAGTTGTCACGATAACATATTTTGAAGTTCGATATATCTCTACAGAGCTACACTGCGATAAACGATAATATTGAAACTACTTTATGCCACTGACACAATAATAATAAAGCAAGATAATCACAGTAAATTCATGTTTAAATAGGCCTGAGTTGCCAAAAAATAACAGAAGGAACCAATCATTTGTCATAGAAGCTTGTTATTCGACCCTCACAGCTAATTTTTTTTTTGGATTACAGCAAAAATAATAAAAAAAATCTCCCTACTTCCCTCCCCTCTTCAAAAAATTGTACACACGATAAATACTGAGCTTCAAAATATAGTATACTTTACCAGCTTTCATATATTGAACTGAGCTGATATAGTAATCATCGTGACAGATTTAGGTCTAAGATATTTTTTATATTAGTTATTTTAATTCACTACCAGAACATAACATTAATGGTTATGTTAATACAACTTCCTATATGGTGTTTTATGTATAATAGGATTGTGCTTGTGGTAGGTCCAGTCCTCCTCCTCCTTTTCGCTGCAGTGTTTTGGGGAGTTTGAGTGAGACAGCTCTAAATGGGTTTAAGTATCAGTTCAGAACACAGTGGGAGTGAGGAGGACAGTACTGCTGCAGAACCGTGTGCCTCCTTCACCTTTACTTTACTTTACTTTAAGCCTCCTGTGAACTCAATTTGCATCTTTTAACAGTATCATTTCATTTTCAGGATATATGCATACATCTGTATTTGCTGCTATCCATACAGTCATTAAAGGTCCTATATTATGCAAAATTGGTCCTTGTGAGCTTTTAGCTATACCTGGAGTTGTGTTTTGTTTCATTCAAACATGTTGGAGTAGCCCTGTATTATTATTCTGTCCACATCTTCAGCTCAAAATGTCATGAGGCTGTTTTTTTAGAGATAACAGCTACCTTTTCCTGGGCTGAAATTACCCACATGATTCTAGTAAAGGTGCATGGAGTTTAAAAACACACTGGAGCACTTCCTGAATTACCACATGACATCACAAGATGGAAGTGTTTTCTGTTTAAGAGAAAAAGTCAGCCAAAATATGCAGGATTTGTGTGTTAAATATGTGTGAATGAAACAAAACACAACTCCAGGTATGTCTGTGATGAGGAAACAACATTACTGCAAACTTTATTTTAAAACAATTGAAACCAGAATTCGCTCTTTTAGATCCATGCTTTGATATGCAGAAGAGAATAATGTCTAATTTCAGATTTTTTCTAGTTCCAAATAGATCTGTCTTCTACATTTGTATCCATGGAGATGTTATTTCTTTGGCTTTAATGTTTTATAGTATGGCACAATACACATTTATTTCATTCTACTTAAAAAAACAAACAAACAAACAAAAAAAAAAAACATGCATTCTTAGTGAACGGGGTCTCCTCCTCACAGATGTGTAACTTGTGTAACTTGACATTGCGGTGACTTCTACTTAGGTTTAAAGGTCCTAAATTATGCAAAATTGTTACCTTCTCAAAATAGTATATTACCGTATTTTCCACACTATAGGGTGCACTCTTAAGCCTCCAACCCCATCAAAAAACGACTGCACACCCCAAAATCTAGAGTGCCCTATACATGAATCCACTCGGGTGTCCCAGCGCGACTTCAGTAAACTACAAAGCCGCACCACCCGCAGTGCACGCAAACATGCACGGAGCAGACAGCAACAAAAACACCCACAGCCACCAGTCATCACTCCACGTGGACAAGGAACCGATAAATGAACCAAAAAAGCAAGCGCAATGGGCCACTTCTAGCCACAACTGAACAACTGAGTCACTGCAAACACACCAACAATCCAGCGGTCCCAGACAGCACCTTCCCTACACGCCACAACTGAACAAAGCCCAGAGTCACCGTGAACGCACCAAACAAAGTCTGACTGAACCATCTAACTGTTGTGTTTCGTTTATTGCGCCATATAGTCTGGTGCGGTTTATATGTGAAAAAAAAAAAAAAAAGAAAATAGACCATTCAATGACAGTGCACTTTATAATCCAGAGCTCCCTATAGTGCAGAAAATACGGTAATAATAATATAGGCCCTTTAATGTTTTAGGTGTACCCAGAAAAGTTATTGCCCTTCTAAGCAAAAAATTAAAGATGACAATTGAAAATGACATCCTACTGAGATGTTGCCAAGTATCTATTCTACACTAGTCATTGTGTTTTACTGTGAGCTTGTCTTAAAAATAGTCCCTTTGGGTTTTAAATGCACTCACTAAAATCAATACAAAAGCTCCATGCAGTGACGTTGGAGGAGACACCACTGCAGTGAATGGAGCAGTTGGGCTGAATGAGTGTCGCAGTGGGTTGGCAGGAACTCAAAGGAACTGACCCCTGAAATGAGGAACCTTTTGTGTAGACACTGAAATTAATGCCACTATCAAACAATGCCTCTGTGTGCTAGTGGTGTAAATGTGGTGCACTAATGTTCTATTTTGTATTATTATTTTATTAAAGGTGCATTGTGTAACTTTTTTGGAGGAGGGTCCGTCAAATGCTTTTCTCCATGGAGATGTTATTGCTTTGTTTGGAATATTTCACAGTCTTCATGGTGACCAAACCAGACCAAGTTACAGGTCAGGTCTGGAGAGGGACCCCCGCTCACGGTCAGAATACCTGTTTTTCTAGGTATTTTTAAACTATAAAACCATCTAAAATTCAATAAATGCAAGGTAGAGATATTTAATGTTATACTGTGGAACTTTCCAGGCAGAGCAATGACATATCCTTAAAAATAAACAGGTGACGCACTGATTTCTTTGTTCAGAAATATTTATGTGAGTGGGTCCGCCTCTCCACCAAACTGATCTGTACCTTGGCCTGCTTATCTCCATGGAGGTAAATACATTTAATATTGTATTGTGGAACATTCCAGGCCAAATAAATACATCTACATGGAGATGTGGCTTACCTTCCCCAAGAAAAGTTATACAGTGCATCTTTAAAATCTTTGTTCACTCTTTAACAATTATTTTTGTAAAATGTCTACCCATTAAATAGTGTGTATCTGTTGCCTGGCCAGCCAAAGTAACATAGAGAGACTGTTTACAGTATCGTATTTATAGTATCTGGGAACCATAATCACTTTGACCTTTATTTCCCAACTTAAACCACAAGTCAAAATTATATTATCTTGTATTATATTTTATTTCTGAATTCCATTTTAGGTGATGGCACTCTGAGAATATGGGACGTGAAGAGCGCTCTCTGTCGATTGGCTGTTCCTGCTCACAAGGCAGAAATACTGAGCTGTGATTGGTGCAAATATGACCAGGTAACAACCTATTCAAAACCAGTAATCGTTACATAAATTACAGTTTTATTGAAGGTTTAATTATTCAGCATGCACATATATTGTATTTATATTGCTCTTAAGCTTGGAATACCTTTCAATCTGAACTGAAGCTTTGTGAGCTGGTTTCTTTAAGTAGTGCTTTAAAATCATTTATACCATTTCTATTTTAGCCCACATTTATACATGTTTTTCATGATGTGTGCAGCAGTTTCACTTTGGTCCATGCCACTCTTAAAAAGAGATTTCAATCTCAGTATTTTTTTATTTTTTTTTTACCTGTTTTTGGTTAAATAAAGGTTAATATTAAATAAATTAAGTAAAATTATACCTTATTCCATTTGCTGCTTTTAGAATCAGAATAGTGAATTTCAATTAACATTTAAGTTGATGTATTCTTTTTTTATAGAAAGTCATAATTTTAGAGACATTGAACTTCACTCCCTACAAGAAAAACATCTGTGAGATTTCTAAAGTTACTGGGTCTTTTTAAACAGCATGAAATAAACATGCTATGGTTAAATAATCAACTATCCTTTTACATTAAAGGTCCTATATTACATAAAATTGACTCTGGTGAGCTCTTAGTCATGTTACCTTATGCTGTTACCTCACCAACAACATACATGGAAGTGTGTTTTGTTTCATTCACACATGTTTGAGTAATCCTACATTATTAGTCTGTCTACACATCTCATGTTCTGTTTCACCTGGTAATGTCATGTAGTGGTATTTTTGAATGAACTGCTACCTTTTACCTCTTATTCAGCAGAGATTGATAATTCCAGGTTTTAAATCATCCAAATGATTATACTGAAAGTGTATGGAGTTTAAAAACACAGTGGAGCATTTCCTGTATTTACTTTTAGAGAACTGTTGAGGGTTTATGTGGTAAACATGTGTGAATGAAACAAAACAGAGGTATGTTTATGATGAAGTAGCAACATTATAACCTAGATGAGAAAAGTGTTATTTTATATAACCTTTAAATATTAGTGCAACTAAAGAATTATTTTCTCGAACCCTTCTTACAGAACCTTTTGGCCACAGGCTCAGTGGACTGCAGTATTCGAATTTGGGATTTGAGAAATGTTCGTCAACCTGTGAGTCAACTACAGGGGCATAACTACGCCATCAGAAGACTCAAGGTACACCAAGAGCCAATACTAAACTACTACTACTATCACAAGTGACATACTAAAAGGCTCCTAGGAGAAAGGCTGTCAAGGCTGGGGTGAGGAAGTAGGCCTTTAAATATGTCTAACGTGTCTGTAGTTCTCAAACCTTTGGCACATTGTTCATTTTCACATTTTCATTTTTGGGTTTGCACACGACTTAAGAGTTCTTTTTTTTTCAGACCTTAAAGTAAAACTGGTGTGGGTGGACTGGCCGGAGCTACAGATATCAGCTACAGATATCAGTGGTCTCATTTTGTCAAAATTGTTACTTTTACAATATACTCTTTGGGGAAAAACAGCAAATTTACTCATTTTCAAAAAACTCAAAATTTCAAAAGATGTTTTATTAAATGTGTTGACACTGGAAATACATCCTCAGCAGAAAATGTACAAATATAGTAAGTGAATTAATATTTAAATAATGCAGATGTTTTTGAGAAATAAATAAAATCTGTAGTGAAATTTTGTACACACAAAGGACAAAAGAAAGGAATTGAAACCATATTTATGCAGAACTAGAAGGCAGTGGGCCCTGACAGCATCAAAACACCCCCTTAAATGGAGCTAATGGGGCAGTCTGCAGCACTGGCCCTTTACACAGATTAGACACATGTCACATCACAGCACAAGGCCAGGAAAACACAACACCCACATTGACATACTGTGTAATACAGTGTACTATCCATTCTGAGTGGGCATTCACATTTTGATCATATACTTAAGATTTATATTTTTAAAAATACTAATACAAATATATGGGTTACTTTAGGTAATATAATACAGCAAATTTGTAATGTCTTGTCAAAGGTCCTATGTTATACGAAATTGAGTATTGTGATTTTTATGGCATGTTAGAGTGTCAAAACATGGAGTTGTGTTTTATTTTATTCACACATATTTGAGTAACCCTTTATTATTAGTCAGTCTACATCGCAAACAATACAATAAAATACAATACAAATCTCAAAATGCTCTGTTCCATCTTGTGATGTCATGGAGCAGTAGTTAACAGCTACTTTTTACCTTTAGTAGAGTACAGATTTGCAATTCCAGGGCTGAAATTATCCAAATGATTCTAATGAAGGTGTAAAGACTTTAAAACCACATGAGATCACAATGTTTGAGAGAAGAACTCAGCCTAAATATGCAGGGTTTGTGTGTTAAACATGTGTGAATGAAACAAAACAAAAACTCTAGGTGTGTTTTTGATGAAGAAACAACATTATAATATCAATAAGAAAAAAGTGTAATATGGGCCCTTTAAGACAGGCTTAGCAAATTTAGTTGTCATTCATCTAGCCTCTCTAATCACAACCTCTCCCCTCTAAAATATAAATAAAAAGTTCCAAGGACACAATGGCTCTGCTGTAAAACCATCTACATTAATGAAAGCTTGTACCTGTGTGAACAGTTGAAAGTCAATACAGTTTATAGGGTTTAAGTTCAAGAATATGATTTAGATCCCCTATAACAAAGATACAGGATTACATTCAGTACATTATGTCCTCTTATTGTATACCAGGGATTTTTCTTTCCTCATACCCCCCCATCCCCAACCCCCAGCCACCCTCTCTCTCTCTCTCTTCTGTGTTCTTATCTGTTGGTGCTGAAGCTTGGTGCTAGTGCAGTGAATCGATAACCGCTTTAACAGAACTGCAAACTCCTCACAAAACACACACACACAATGCAATCTAGTGTGAAAGAGGCCATAATCAAATCGAGTTAAATGTCCGAGTACAGAGCAAAACGATAAAAAGCAAAAGAGAAAACCTATGAACCAATGAATATTAATAAACTACAATATTGTTTTTTAGTGACAATATGCTGCTGAACAAAGGCGCAGTGAAGGCTGACATTGTAGTAGGTTGGTTTTAAAGCTGCACTATGCAACATTTCTAGTGAAGGGTGCTTGTATTATGGCCTTAAAAGTCCTATATTATACAGAATTGACCTGTTCCACCTTGTGATGTCATGTGGTGGTAGTTTTCAAGTTAATGGTTACCTTTTACCTTTAGTTCTGTATAGATTGGCAATTGTGAAATGTTTGTAATGAAGGTGTATGGAGTTTAAAAACACAGTTGAGTTTTTTATAATGTTTATGATGAGGAAACATTATAACATAGATCAGGAAATAGCGTAATATGGGCCCTTTAAACTTGGCTGTTTTTATTGAACCTTTATTTTACCAGGAAAACATAAAAAACATATTTAATTGAATAAATGTTATACTGCGAAACATACCAAGGAAAGAAATAACATCTCCATGGTGGCAAGCAGTTGGCAGACCTTCAACCAGAGAAGTTAAAACATTACTTGTGTAAAGAATAATTCACCCCAGAAAAACAGACGCTGAAAACCCCATTTTGCTTTTGTCAACACATTTTAATTTAAAGCTGAGCAGGACAGAAAGCCTACAAAAAGCGTTCTGTGCTCATTTGGCTCGAAGCCGCATTTCCCTTTGAGTTTAATCGTGTGTGTTTTAGTGAAAGACCAGGGAAATCCTCCAGCTGAGAAATAAGACGTCAGAATATAGGACGCACCGGGGGGTGGGGAGCTGGTGTGGTGTCCATGTTTGTTTGATTTTTGCTTTGAATATGACTGCTTATTGTGGATAAATATGATGTTAGGATGTTGTGTTTTTTAATATACTTACTGTATATTACTAAACTTGAAAAAATCTTGCATACCTGATAATGACCAATGCCTAAACCAATAATGTGTAAAATCACTAGAACATAGTCAGTATTATTGATATTATTCATTTTAAATATAAAACACATATTACTTAATGCTTGTCAATATTTTTGAGTAATGAATTTGTATTTTTTTGTCTTTGCAGTTTTCTCCCTTCATGAAAACTCTACTGGCATCCTGCTCTTATGACTTTACTGTGAGGTAAGACATTTTAAATGATAAAAAACTACACCTAATTTTTATTTATTTTTTTTATTTATTGTTGGCTTGTGCCTTTCTGATTACTTTATTTTGAACAGTAGACAAATAATTGGGATTTTAAATTAATCTATTTGAAATGTAAAGATTAAATGAACATAAAATATTACATGTGTTTTTTTTTTCTTCTTCTTTTTTTGACTCCCCTAAAACAATTATTTCTGTACGCGTGACTTTTTAGATTTAAAAAAAGGAAGAACTTTGCAATTACTCCAATAAAACCCTGTCTTGACCTTTCCGGGTTGATGGTACTCTGAATGAAAATTAAATTAGATTAAATAATTGTTCTTGGTCAGTTACTTCTTCAGGTTAGATTAGGCCAGAATCCTTTGTAGTGAGTAAATTAAAGTTCACCTCAGTCCCCATCTGTATATTTGTACAGTGAATGCTGCCCCTTCTTTTTTGTCAGGGTTCAGCCTCTGATAATGTGTAATGCAGATGGGCTCAAAGTAGTGAATAAAAAGGATAATTTCAGGCTCCATTACTCCAGTATTTCCTTGCACTTTTTAATAGTTCTGCATCTTCATTTGAGAGAGTTTCTTCCACAGATATAAATGAGAGTACTAGAAGTTCACACTGTCCCCAAATGATTGATGTGTTAAAAGCGCTCTGCCTGATCTTTTTCTATCTTTAAACTTTAAACAGTTTGCAAAGATCCAGTTATCCCTCACTTACCTTACACATTCCAAGCATCCTATTTCTTTAGCACGATGAATTTATAAGCACCCATTTCAGCGACCAAACTGGAGTTTTCCCATCACAGTTATTCAAATGCTTTATAATTAGATGCAAACAACACAGAACAGTCTACTTTCCAGCTTAAGAGTCGCTTATACAATATACTATCTGCACTGGGGTAAAACCAATGTAGTTATACACAGACAAATTTAGATGCAGCCACTAAGAGATGATGGCAATTTAAAAAGCCGTGATTTTTGGAGCTCTTTGAGTTTGGATTTCCTAAAATATGGTGAGATAAGTTTAAGATCCCGGTAAATGATGATGTGTGAATGTAGAAGGCTGTTTTCATAAATTCATTATTACTCTGTAAAAGGTATAAGACCATTGTGCATATGATAATACAGTGTACTGTCCTTCACGCTTCATTGTGTACAGTTAATTTAGTTTTATTCATTTTTGCGAAGGCTATGAATGAATTAGCTGGCCATTTCTCTTTAATTGCCACCGTTATTCAAGGCCTCAAGACACGGCATTTCAAACCTAATTTCAGCGAGCACAGGTGATACCGAAGTACATCTATTATTGGACTAAGAGGCTTTGATTACCATCATAGTCTATACAGAAATGCACTAAGGGAGTGTGACGTCACCCATAGCGTTTGGCTTCAGTCAAATGAAGCTCATCGAGGCTCACATTTACAGGGAAGACTTTGGATTTTTTAGTTAAAATTTTTACCCTGTATCATAGCAACCCAAGAGCCAATCTGGAGCAAGGCTGTCGAAGGTAATGCCCCTTCCTGTCCACACAGTCTGGTTTAGCAGGGAGCAGGTGCTTAGCATTACACTGTCAATCAAACCTCTTCCCAACACTAACGGGAGAAATCTGTAGGAAAGAAGGTGCCTTATCTGTCTGTTATTAACGTTCATATCTTGGTTTACAGGTAAAATACCTGAATAAAAATAGCAGGATCAGAGTGGGTCGATATGAACTGTTAAAGACCATAGTGACGAGCCCGACAGCAACCGTTAAGGAGGGGGGGTGACACTTTTTCAATAGAAAGTCAATTGGAGCCAGAGTCGATGCAGCTGGAAGTGCGCCCATGTTCACTTCTTATCTGGAATGCTGCAGCTAGTGGGAAACCCAGTATCCAGCCCATCTTTCAATAATGTTAACACAGCTTATTGACTTAATCCGTCACACTACTGAGACTCCAGAGTTGTCACAAATAATACAATTTTAAATTATTATTATTTTGTGTTTTAAATGCATTCACTATATCATCAAAACAGCTTCAATTTCACAGAACATGTTTTGGGCTCACTGTTCCAATCCAGCTGTGATTCCTCATAAACTTCCAGTCTGAGTGTTGTTTAATGTAGAGTGAAATGCTGCTTTTAACGAGTTGCACCTGAATGCGTCGCAGAGTAAACGGCATAAACCAAAAGCCAAAGGAAAAAAGCATTTGAGATGGATGTGAAAGAGAGAGAGAGAGAGTGGCCCGCTGCCAACTGTGTGTTATATTGATCCGTTCATTCATTGGCTCCAGTTCTGAGCAGCGAAAAGCGACTGTACTTAACCCTGAAGCACAGAGATCTGAAAGTCAACACAGCAGCCACCATCACTCTGTGTCTTTGTCATTTCAAAACACCTACAGCTATCAAATGATTTATTCAATTGTTATATTTGCAATCATTTGTGGAAGCAATGAAAACATCTGGTCATCTATCAAACTCGACTTGTATTTGTGAAGAATGGTTTTAGTAAGTGTTCTGAATATTAAACTTACATATTTCATTTGTTAGTACCTGCAGTAAATATGTAACACCTTTTTACAACAGATGATGTGAAATTATGAGGTGAAAAATGACAGGAGGTAGCATAAAGCTCTTAAAAAGGAATGCCTCAAATTCATCAATGCACAAAATTTCTTCCAAAATGAAGCTCACTCACAAGGAACACATTTTATTGAAATAAGCAGTCTTTGTGCCAGCGATATTTTTTTGTATTTCATTCATTTTGAATCTGGACTCTGAGTCACAGTAAAGTAACTGTAGGTCGTCTGAATCAAAAATAATGATATTATGCAAAATGGTTAATAATAGTGCCACAGCGCATTACACTGTATATGTGTGATTGATATGATACAATGTGACTGGTGTGTTCTGTGGGCAGCTGGTGTGAATTGATTCCTAATGTCCCTTTGTTCCTGGAGGCTTGTATTCTTCTTTTTAATTGGAGCCAGTAGCATTTCAGCAAGAGACGTAGAGATGTCCCTCTTCCCACACTTCCCTCTGGGTCCTCTTACTTCTCTTGTTTGGTATCATTTTGTTTTGACCTGCACCTTGGGTTTATTCAAGTCATGACTTATCTTTAAATAACGACACAAACAGTGGGGATTTATATAGAGTCCCTACTTAAAAAATCTAGCTGCTTGTGGAAATTGTCTGCAAAATTATACTCATCCATCTTGCAAAACATATGCTTATGTGTGGCTTATTACAATAGTGACCTGTCTGGAGGAGGGTGTGATATTTCTTTTCCTAGAATGGTCCACAGTATGACATTTACTCTATTATGATGTGTTTTATTGCTTAAAATGTTGAAAAACATCCACTATATAAATAAAAGGCATATTTTCTCATAACAGCCTTTAGAGTAAACCCTTCTAAATACGTTAAGAGTCATTTTTCCCCTGTGGTTCCAGCGTTAATGGACCAAGACCGAAGATAGATGGAATGCTCGGTGAGTGATCGTAGGGGGTTAGTTTGAAAACTTGATGGGTGAATTTTTAAAGCTCTTAACGTGTTTAATTTAATCTTCTTCATTAGCTCCGGTGAGATAAACCAGGCTCGTTCATTACTGCGCTGATAGCACTTGCAAAGCTGCTCTTCATCAAATCCTATCTGTGAGGAAGAGGAGCTTATATGGGCTTGTACTATGTGGCTAATACAGGTTAGATGAGAAAGATGCGAAGTAGTCCATTTCATTTTTTGTTAAATGTAACTTTTATGAGCTTTTGAGCATGTGAGAATATCAGATGAAAACACTACTACTGATTACTCATAAAACTACTATATCAAAAGTAAAAACACAAATATTTTATACTTATATAACGTAAAAATTACTCTTATAAGTTTTAAGTTGTGTTAGAAAACTGGAGTTGTGTTTTGTTTCATTCACACATGTTTGGGTAATCTTTTATTATTAGTTTGTCTATCTCCAAAGCTGAAAATGCTCTATTCCTCCTTGTGATGTCATGAAGGTTTCAAGTTAACAGCACCTTTTACCTTCTGTTCAGTAGAGATTGGTAATTCCAGGGTTGAAATTATCGAAATGATTCTAGTGAAGGTGTATGGAGTTTAAAAATACAAAGGAGCACTTGCTGTCAACAGTGTTTTTTGTGCAAGAGAACTAAATATGCAGGATTTGTGTGTTAAATTAAATTAAATTAATGAAACAACACGACTCCAGGTATGTTTTGAGGTATGTTTTGAGGAAACGATATTATAACATACTGTTATGAATAGAGTAATATGGGAGCTTTAATAATAGCAGTTAAAATATACAGTATAGTAAAGTGCAGCAGTAAGTTTTACCTTCCTCTTTTTTTCCAAAGCTCTCAGAGATGGGCTTTGTATTTTGATAATATGATGAGTCACTATCAACAAAGATAAACCAGTTAGCCTTATTTAAAAATGGATTTTACCACAGAATTTTAGCTTGGAGTCAAGAATTTATTGTCTCTCATGATGTTCGTTAAGAAGCTGAAGGCAAAGTAGTTTCTTTACAAAACAGGGATGTAACAAAATGGAAAAGAAAGATAGAAAACACATTATTAAGAATTAGTAACTACTTAATTAATGCCCTCATGTTTAACTCCCTTGTAATTACTGGCAATTACTGAGCCTGAAAATGTAATTAACATGTTGTTCATTATGACTACAGTTTTTGTTTATGCTTCATTAAAGCTAATTTAAAAAGTAGTTACTGTGAAGTGGTATCAGAGACATTTTCCGGAAAGATGTTATTTGATTATTAGCATTGATCATTTCAGATTCCACACCATTGTCAAAAGATCAGTATTTATTTATATAGGCGTTCCATTCCTATCAATAGCAGTGTGCCATTACAGCTCATTGTACTACATGTTTATTTGCACTGGGCCTGTACGTGCAGCTCTTTCATTGAGGTTTAGTGCTGTGTTTGGATCCAGTAGCACAGGAAGTCGGCAGGTGGGGGCAGGCGGGAGCAGGTGGGAGCAG